TTTGGGAATGCTTCAGGTGACCAACGTCCCGATATATCTCTCCCAAGATGATTACTAACACTGCATTGTAGAAGAGCGACCCATTCCCGGTCAAGGAGATTGCCATTGTCACCCTTGTGCGCATATACAGTCTCATCAACAGCTACCAAACTCTCACAAGAGAAATTGCCACACCTACGATTCCGACGTTCTTCAACGCATGTCTTCAGATGATCAAGCTCCCGGGCCTAGGCCAGCGTCTCAAGACGCCGCTCTCTGTCGTTGAGACTGTCCTGGACGCCTTCTCCGCCATGATTCCCTTGTACCCGACAACCTGCCGCCCCTTCAACGGCCAGATTAGGACGGCCATCAAGCCCTACTTGGCGCCTACCTCTTCCGATGGAGCCACGATCCCCCAGTCTCTCCGTCGGGCAAGCAGACATTTGGCCATCTCTCAACCCCTCACCACGGCAGGCAAGACGGGACCCACCGACGACTGGGTCAAGCTGGTCGACGAGCTGCGCAAGGATTTTCATTGTACTGCTGATCAGGTCTTCCGCGCCGTACAGGAATCATGGGAAGCCTCTGCGGCGTACACCCGATCCAAGGTGGACTTTGATATACCGCCGCAAGGTTTGGAGACAAGGGATCAGCTCCCCAACTGGACCGGAATCTCTGCTGGCCGCGACAGACTCGTCGGCTTGCTCCAATACATGGCAGACGCCCTCCGCTACTCGACCAAGACCCCCGTCACAATTCCGATTGCGGCTATCATGGATATGGTCTCTCGTGTATCATTGATTAGCCGTAACTCCAAGTCTCAAGCATGGGACCAAGCGCTCGAGACACAGCCTGCTGTTGGCAGGGAGGAAAAGGAGGAGCTGTGGGCCGCAATGCCCGACGTACACGTCGCCGCTCTGGACCTGCTCTTGATCCTGGTGCAAAGGCTGGAGCATAATGCGCTCTCGACCATCCCAGAGATACACGACAACATGATCCTTGTCTTCCGCTCCGGCATCGACATCCCTGCCGTCCGCGCTGCAACATACAAGCTCCTCAACGAGACCCTCCCCATTGCCGGCCCCGGCCTGCAAAAGCTCACCGTCGAGACCCTCGGCATCGTCTCCCTCGCCTGCTGCAGAGATGTCCAGCAAGAATCAGGCCACATCCAAAAAGCAAAGGCAGCAACCAACAACAAGACCGCAGCCGACACCAAGAAGAACACCATCGCCGCCAACGCAGACCTCTTCCTCCCCACGCAAGCCAACGTCGCAGACGCCACCACCTCCTCCTCGAAACAAACCCTCATCGCAAAGGACCACATCGCCACCGCCGATGCTCTACTCGCCAGCCTCCTGTCTCACCTGCCCCAGCAACACCTCAAGCCGGGCCTCCGCGGCCTCCTCGACCAGACCGCCATCCTGTCGCGCAACAAGGCCGCCATGCTCGCCAGCGTCCTGAACCCCTACACCAACCAGGGCGGCGCTATGTTCCCCAGCATCCTGCCCTACCTCGCGCAGCAGTACCCCCGCGACCAGGGCGTCGAGATTCTCCGCTCCAACATCCGCGCCTCCCCCGCGCAACCCCCGGCGGACGCCCTCGAAGGCATCACCGCCACGCTCGAGGAGCTCGAGGCCGAGGAGGAGGCCAAGGACGCCGAAGACGAGGAAATTCTCGCCGAGATTCAGGTCGCGGGCGACGCGCAGGACGCGGAGATGAAGGATGCCACCGTTACCGCCAGCACCATTGTCGTTGCGGGCGACGAGGACGGCGACATCGTCACGTCCACCAAGACCGAGGTCGTCAACCCCTTCGCCGTTACCTCGGCGCAGAAGCGCAAGCTCCAAGACGAGGGCGCAGGCGCCCCGAGCCCGCCCAAGAGACAGAGCGTGGAGAGGAAGGTGGTTGAAAAGACGATTGTAGCAGCGGCGCCGGAACCAGCGGCCGAGGAAGCGGATGACGACAGCGACGATGAAAGCGTGCACCTCAATATGGACCTTGACGATGAAGAGGAAGAGGAGGAGGATGACGAGTGAGTGAGTGAATAAGAGAGAGAAGACAAGAAGACAAGAGGCAAGAGAAAGGATTCACATTGTTGTCATTTAGATGGACATAATACCCCCACTGGAGACGAAAGATTCCCCGGGTGAATGGAACAAAAAGTTTGAGTGATCTGGGTATGTGATTTTTTCGATTTGCTATAGCAAACCGAGGCCGTATTGTACATGATACTGTTTGTGAAAAGGTCCAGTATCCAAGGCCATTGCGGCCTGACTTATCTTGTTAAGCCTTTTTCGTATGAAGGTGTATGTTTGGCCCAATCACACCCACCCCGATGACTAGTCCAGAGGGTGTTTGCAACCCCTCCCCCCTTCTTTCAAAACGCCGCCGTATGAAGGATATTTGCCCCCTCCCCACCCAGTCGTCGCGATCGCGACGGCAACCCATTTTGTAAATAGTGACAATTCGGACCAAACAGTCCAGAAAAAAGAAAAGAATGCCACACGTCTCATACCTCAATCCCGCAACCAGGCCCTCCGCTTCTCCTCCTTCTTGGCCCGGCGCTTCTCCTTGAACTGCTTGAGCTCAGACTTGCTAGGCTTCTTGCCGCTCCGCTCGGCCTTGAGACTCCGTCCGTTGTGCGAGTTGGCCGCGGCGTCGACGTCGAAAAAGGCATTCATCTGCCGCCGGCTCTTGGCCTCGTCGGTGTGGCGGTCGGGTCCGTCGTCCAGCGTCTGGAACTGGCCGGTGAAGCGGTTGAACTGCGCCATCGCGCCGTACTCGCCGCCGTTGATCGCAGAGGCGGACGTTTGGGCTGTTTCGTCCTCGTCGGCTGCGCTGCCCTTTGCGTACCACGCGTTCGGGTCGTAGTCGCCGTGGATGGCTGGGTTGTAGCCGCCGGCCGGGGGCGCGTCGTTCTTTGGGAGGGGAGGAGGGCCTGAGAGTGTTGCGGTCGCGGAGGCGGTCGTGCCTGGTGCTCCTGGTGCTGCTGCTGCTGGTGTTGCGCCACCGGCAGTGGGTACGCGAGGGTTGTCCCATTGCGACGCGCCCGTGATGCGGTTGTAGAAGTAGTATGCCTGGGCTGTCGGATCCCACTGGAAGTCCCAGCCGTCGTCTTGTGTCGCTGGAGGAGCTCCGGCGGGTAGGGGCGGCGCCTCGTTGGGAAGGGGTGGCGCATCGGTGGATGAAGTAGGATTGTCGTCGCGAGCGTCGGCAGGAGCGGGAGAGCCAATTGAGCTGGCCTCGCCGGACTCTGGGGAGCTCGAGTCTCGTTTCGAGTTGTCGTCGTTATCGCCCTTGGATGAAGTCGATTTTGAGTCGTTCTCATTCTCAGTGGGCTCTTGCTTGAGGTCGGAGGCATCATCGGCAGGTGTGCTTTGTTCCGGCTCAGCCTTGCGCGGGGAGGCGGCTTGGGGAGAGTCTGACGCCATGGTTTCAAAGTCGGAATGCAGGGTTTAATAAAGTGGTGTGAGTCGGATAGGTTGGTCTTGTCGCGTGTGAGCGTGGATGATTAGAGAGTGTTTGTCACCGGATAATAATAGAATGTCGACCCAGCAGGAGCTTCATCTCTTGGATAGGAAGACTGGCGATGTTGAACCACGCTTTGGGTGGAGTTGAAAGAGCGAAGAAAGAGAAAGCTGGAAAAGGTACGGTTAGAGTCGCAAGTTTGACTGTGCTCAGAAGAGAACAGTGCAGTGCAGTGCAGTTGTCCCACCTGAAATTTGGTAGAGACAAGGAAGATGCAAAATGACGGCACGGCGATTGACAGGCAGGTGGGTGACCTGCGCCGGGGTATCCGTGGTCACACTGTGTGTGTCGCTGGTCAAGGCTGGCTGACTAAGTTGAATCACTGTGTGGAGTGGGGGCTTGCTTGCTTCTTCAAGCGGAAGCCCCCGCTCAGAATGGAAGCGTTCGGTTCCTGCCATGGAAAGAACGTGAAGTAAAAGATACGTACCGAGTTAACCACCACCTTCCGTCACGGCGTAGCACTGCGGAACACTGCGGAACACGGCAAAGCACTGCGTGACACTGCACTGAGGAGGAGTCTGTCAAAAGATTGGGGACTACAAGTGCTGCAAGCGCTGGCGCAATTGGATCGAAAAGAGACGGGAAGTGGCCGCCACAGCGGTGCAGCAGGGCGGCAGGGCCGGCCAGCAGCACGTTGAGATATCCCCAGTTAAATAGGCCCTTCCAGACCCTCTCACTGGACGGCAGATTGAGCAACGGAGGCAGATCCGGACCACGATTCGGTTTGATTGCCCTAGCTTGCCGGAGGAGAAGGAAGAAGACCTACCTACTGTAGGAGGAGGCAGTTTGCGAAATAGGTACATGACTCTGCATTCTCGTGGGCTCTTGTTTACTCTATTCTCTCTTTCTCGCCGTCGCCTTTTCTCTTCCCTACTCTCGGCGAACCCCTCATCTCTCCCCATCTATCTATCCAACCTCACCCGTTAGGTTGTTTCCTCTTCTCTTCTCCTCTCCCCCAAAAAGAGCGAGAGAAAGGTCTCTGCAGCTTGGCCAACCTCTCTGTCAGCTCCTTTTGAATACCTGCATACCATCCATCTCACCACATTGGTTGCCAGCCAGCCTTCCACACCCTCATCGCACTATTCCAGCCGACATCCACAACCCTCACTGGGCGCCGCATCGAAGTCTTGTTGGAACCGAGAGCCAATGTCGACGCCTTCCGCAAGCCATCGTATTCACGTGTTGCCTTGCTCTCCCCATTGGGACGATTGTTTGTTCTCCTCTGCCTGCCGCTCACCAGCTTCTCGATCGGTTATTATGCTGTCTTTGCTTCTCGTCTGTATGCCCAATACCCCTCACTTTTCTTTCGTTGCGAGCGGTCAGTCTCGTTATACGACCCTGGACGAAACAGCCTACCCATGACCTCCCTCTACCTACAGCCCATATACAACATCTACGACAACATCTCTTCGCAAAGTCACAGCTTCAGGTCTACCTAGGGAGCTTCTCGTGGCACCAGTCCGGCCGCACTAGCTGCGAGGCCGTTGGCTGTCATGTCTGACCAGGCCAAGCCCCAGCCGTTGCGGCCTTTGCTCCCGGCACCAAAAGCCTCACAGCCTGCTCCTCCTCCTCTTTCTCCAGCACGCTTCCTTCCAGCTCAATCATCAGCCAAGAAGCGTCTACCGAGTACCAAGGTTGCTTGTAACGCTTGTCGGTCCAAGAAAAAAGCAGTAAGCATAATTCTCTTATATTGGAACCGTGGCAGGTCCTCTTGACTCGTTCTATGCGCTGACACTCTCACTTCAGTGTGACGGCAAACGCCCTTCGTGTAAGGCGTGTACAGAGCTGAAAACACAATGTGTCTATATCAGCGCTAATGAGACGGAGACAGCCGCTATGGCTTTAAAGAGGGAAAATCAAATGCTCCGAGAAATGTTGAGCCAGCTCACGGCAATGCCGGATGATGTTGCCCACCAGACATTGAAGAAGCTCAAGTTCGCCGTCGACCCTTACGCTGCTCTTCGCGCGATAAGGCCGTCGGGGCCAAGGGATGCCCGAGAGATCCTGCCTCATATCTCGTCCAATGTCGAGTTTGAACTCACGCGACGCCATCCCATCTTGTATCCCCAGACTCGGAGATTAGGTCGTCTCGAGATGCCCGAGGATGTCGACTCTAGGCCTTCCAAACTCGCTCGGGTTGAGGACGCATCCGAAGAGGGTTCAATTCTCGAGGACCGCCGAGCACCGGAATACCCTACTGTGGCTGAAGACCTGGAAGATGATCCCTCTACAGCCTCTCCAAGGCCTTCTCGAGCATTTGACTCGGCCTTCTTTGTTCCACCAATGGGCCCTATTCCTCCGCCGACACCGCGCATTCGCAACGAGCCTCGCCTGAAAGATTTGAACATTGCCTTCTGGACCGTAGTACCCATCAGTAATCAGGACGCAGCAGAAGTCATCTCTCTATATCTTGAAACAGATCATCCGATATTGGGCTTGTTCGATGCTGATCTGTTCCTGGACGACTTGGTCTCCGGTGAAGTTCGGTACTGCTCTTCACTCCTCGTCAATGCTCTGCTTGCTTTCGCTTGTGTCAGTTATCCCCTATTTCCCCTTTTCAGAATAATGTCATTGATTGTTTTGACCAGCAAGCATATGCGGCAAAGCAACCTGAAGCGTCTCGGTGGAGTCAAGAGCTGGAAGACGAGTCAAATAAGCTCTGGCATGCGCAAAACGATGATACCTTGCCTACCATTGCAGCTCTCACCTTCTTGATTCAGTCCAGCGGCTGTAATGGTAATGGTGAACTCAATGTCAAGTTTGTCAAAGATACAGTAGCTATGGCGAAGCGTCTGAGACTCTTTGGGTGTCCCGATGCATATACCTTTGTAGACCTAAATCGTCTCTCGGAATCACAGGCTAGGGCAACAGCTCAAGTCGCCTGGGGAGTTTTCAACACTCTGAGGTAAAGCCATTTCAAGGAGTCGTCAGTTCGAAGTGAGCATAGCTGACGGAAAGCGTAGTATGACGGCCCAGTTCTGTTTACCAGCGACTACTGAGTACCCTCCGACTCTTCCCATCCCAGGTAAAGCTAGGCTAGGGAAATCAACACCCGGGTCTGAGCACGAGCGTAACAGCAGCGCGAATAGTACAGCGCCCTCCTCAGACTCGGATGCTCGTTCCCAGTCTCGAAATCACACCAAGAGAGGGCGATCTCCTGCCATATCAGACACTTTCGCCGCCTTTTGCGAACTATGGGTCATTTCCTCTCAAATCACTTGGGTTTATCAGCACGATACCAGTCCAGGTCATTCATCCCAAGCTTTTGCATTGGAGAAGTACAGCAAACTACTGTCTTGGGCAGATAGTTTGTCTGAAAGTATGGAACGTAACGAGCACAGCCCATCTCATGTGCTTACCTGCCAGTAAGTCGGCCTTTTTCTTTGTCCCGCCAGTGTACGGCGTGCGAATTAACACCCTTCACAGCATGTGGTTCCACGGGACTGTGCTCTACCTCTTCAGGCCGTTCATCCCAAACGACAAACAGCATGGCTTCAAATTCTGGTCACCGTCAGCCGACCAGATACCTGCCTTTTTTGCGGCCTCCGTCGAGCAGCTCAAAGACCTCGTCGAGGTGTACGCGTTGTACCCGGAATCGACGTACAGCATCTTCGGGCACACTGCTCTCATCCATGTAGCCAACGCCGTAGCTAGCGACATAACGAATCCAGAGTGGCGACCCTACTTCCTCAGCTGCATCCGCGCCTACCAGGCCCTGTACAGCTCATTTACCGTTGCCGAAGTGATTGCTGGTGGTCTCCTTTCCATGGTTGTCAGGAAGGGGGGCATGGACATGACGGAAGCCCTAGGGCTGCTGGAGGATCTCAGATCTCGCAAGGGACCCAGAGCGGGCGGTCGGGCGACTGGTATGTTTGTGACTGATCTCGACCTCGCTGTGACGGACCGCGAGGCGGCGAGGGTTGATCGTTTGATTGAAAACTTTGAAGAGATGACTATCTTGGATGAGTTTACTCAAGGTGTCATCTGAGGGCCTTCTTTTGCTACCATTTTTCTCGCCACTTGATGCACGTATAGTGGAAGGGCTTGGAGAAAAGGACCGGCTCTGTTTGACGATTTGATTATTCATGACGCACATGCTGTAATGACGAGCCATCAAGGCTCTATATTTTCCCCACGATGTGGGTGTAATTAATATGCAATATACAAACGGCCACAACTGGTAAAGGACAGATCGTTTTCCAGTCGCATTTTTGCTCGACACCGTCGCTTCGTAAGACTACACTGGCCCATATTGAACATGTTAGTCTGGGGGACTCGAATAAACTAGCTGTGTCTTGTGATGAGGATTTGAGATCTGAGAGGATTTAGAGTCACCGAGTCTAGTACTTAGCGGCCACATGCTTCAGATCTCGGGACGGCCTCTACCGCTATGAGAACTCAAGAATGGGCTCAAGAATGCAGTTCAGCCCTGTACTTCGCAGTCCGCGGGTTGATGTGACCGGGGTAACCAGAAACAACAATTGATAGGGCCATAAGGTAGGTAGGTAGTGTGTGGGACGCCTTCACATGTTCCCGGTTATGTAATGCAAGTCCAAGGTAGACTGCCTTACAGGAAACAAGATCCTCGAGGTTGTTTTCGCACTGACCTCACGGGGTAAAAAGCAGAGCGCTAGTTCCTTTCATTTCATGTTTCCATCCTCCCCCCCGATACAACATCGGCCCTACGTTAGCTGCGTAGAAACATCGTATTCCACGAACCATCCGACCACCACTCGGCCCGCCGACGCAACGTTCCAGGGCAATGAGCGGGCAACCCACCTCAGCCAGCAGGCCTCCTTTGGTTTGGGGGGCTTGTGTTTCTTTATGACCACAAATAGCACACACAACCTAAGCTCGAGGCATGACCATGGATGGCCGCCGCCGCCGCGGTGCCATCGCCGTCTACCCGCTTGCCTAGAAGTCTAGAGCGATCACGGCCATCTCCTTCAACCAGCGAACGCTAACAACACAGAAACCAAGAGCGAATGGATGGCCGCCGCATCCGGACAGGTTGGGGTGTCATTACCCAACCCAAGACCATCCGGTTTGGGTAAAGTCTCTTTTCAGATCATCACCGTCACCTAGCCTTCCCGCTCAGTCCCTGACGGAGGGATCGTCTCTCCAGCTTTATTGTCCTGTCCATAGAGTGGAGGCCGCCCTCGATGATACCTAGGTGCCTACAGACGACGGAGACTCTGTGCTACCCCAAACCTGCGCCGCCGTCGCAGTCCCTGCAGATGATGAAGTCGAACTTTCCCAGGACGTTTTTCACTCAAATCTTTGGCGGTCTTGGCTGATGGTGCCCAGTGGCGCCGCTAGCATCGTCAGGAGAACCCGTCGCCGTTTCCGTGAAGGATCGGTCGCTTTGCTCTTTACCTTTGACAATTTGAATTAGGTTCTGATCCACGTTACCTACTATCCCTCTCTCTCTCTCTCTCTGACTCCACCTTTTAGAATCCTCGATCCGGGGACTGCCATCTCTCGGGTGAGGCGAGGGCCTGGCCATCTAGTGGCTGGATGGGCATCCGGAAGGGAAAAAGAAGCACTTGCGCACGCACGATCCCGTCTCACATTCCGGTGCACCGTGGCAGGGGACAACCTCCAAAGCGACGTCGCCTTTGACTACGGGGTCAAGACTTAGACAACCACTCGGACGATTTTGTCAATCAGCCTTTAATAAATCGTCCAATATCCCGCCTCTCTCTGCATCTGCTTTCCCCAGACTCTCGATTGCATTGCTGACAGGGCCGCATCCCCAACCGCCAAGCCACACACGGACAAGCAGCAACAGCAGCGGAATCATGTCTTTCAGACGGGCACCTCTCGTGAGCCTCGCTCTCACTTTATTGCCTTTGGTTGTGGCCGACGATCACCCCTATGTCGCCGACTCAGTGTGCGACTGCTACTTAACCAACTCGTCAGAGAGCTACTTTAGCAACCACTTGTTCTTCGACTTCCGCAACCTCGGCCAATATGCCGGGGTCCCAGATGCCCTCACGGACTGGGATGCGAGCGCCAATGCAAACACAACATCCGACTACTTCAACACGGACGCATGGAACGCGATATGGGGCATTCAGAATTGGAACAACACGGATCGCAAGGGGAAAGACGGCAACGATGCCACGGTCAACATGGTGAACTCGCCAAACAACATTTACATTGAGAAGAATAACGACAAGGACGCCACCTCGGACACCTTTATGAGCATGCGCACCATCCGCTTCGAAGACTTCCAGTCCTCGGCCGAGATGGAGTCCGTCTCCATGGGCTACCACTTCGTCTCGGTCCGCATGCTCGCCCGCACCCTCGGCGACCCGGGCGCCTGCACGGCGCTCTTCACCTACCGCGAGGCCGACAAGTACGCCAACGTGCAGGAGGCCGACATTGAGGTGCTCACCAAGGACCCGGACGACCGCATCCAGTACACCAACCAGCCGTCGTTCGACTCGAGCGGCAACACCATCGACAAGTCGACGCAGAACGGCACCATGCCCAAGGGCACTTCGTGGCGCGACTGGGCCGTCCACCGCCTCGACTGGGACGCCAAGGACAGCACCTGGCTCGTCGACGGGTCCGAGGTGTCGAGTATTTCCTTTCAGGTGCCCCGCGACCCCAGCCGCGTCATGCTGAACTCGTGGAGCGACGGCGGGTCGTGGTCTGGCGTCATGGAGGTTGGGCACTCGGCCGTCATGCAGATCCAGTGGATCGAGATGGTGTTTAATTCCACGGAGTCGTCTTCGAAGCGCGACGTACTCGATAACAGCTCTCACCAAGCCGGTCTCGGTCCGAGGGGTAACCTGGAGCGCCGCCGCGGCGAGGGCAAGTGCCAGATTGTGTGTAGTATCGATTCTTCAAACACGATTGGCGCAGCGGTGATGCTGCACAATGGCACGGCGCCTGGGCAGCTTCTGGGACAGTCGAGCGCCATGGCCTTCTGGGTGCCTGTGGCCCTGATGTCGGCCATGTTTTACCAGCTGTGGGCGTGATTGTGATTCCACAGTCGAGGCGGAGGGCGTTTGCATCTGATTTATGCCAGCATAGCAACGGGGTTTAAACATGGGATTTGTCTATTTAGTATTACTCAATGAAATATATTTTCAAGCTACTTCGGATCATAATCACCGCGATACCTCCACTAGGGTGCCATGTCAACTTGTGTTTGGGTACCAAAATCAGCTGGGAGCTTTAGGTTCGAGTGGTCGGATCAAGCATTCGGAGCTCGACCCCTGTAAATGAGCACCAACGCGCGCCGCGACGTGCCTTGTACAGTGGGACGCCCCCAGCACCCATGCGCCATGCCATGCCACCCATAGGCAGCCAGAGGATGCCACATGCCTCGGTCCCAATTGGATGTGGGACAATTCGGATGGACCCTTAGCTGCAGCTCAACCTCCCTCAACAATCTTTCCCAGAAAGCATTGCATCCGCAAAACCACCCATCTCGCCATCATCACCACCGGGCGCCTGAACAAAACAATCGAAGCTCCCCTTCGCATCACGCAAACCCTGGAAATTCCTACACGAAGCTCGGATCGCAAAGGAACACAATGGCCGACGCAGCAACAGCAGCAGCGGCGAAGCCGCAGAGGCGGCAATCCTCCCCCCTCAAGAACGGCTACCTCATCGCCTACAACTTCGTCTCCGCCGTCGCCTGGGCCACCGTCCTCGGCCGCACCGTCGCTCTCTTTGCGCTGCGCGGGCCGCACTTTGTCCATCTCGGCGTCGGCGACTGGACGCGGTGGACGCAGACCATGGCTGCCATGGAGGTTCTGCACGCATTGCTCGGTTCGTTTGGATCCCTTACACCCCCGTTCAGCACAGCTACTCTGCTCTGCCCTATCTAAACCCAAGAAGAAAGATCAAGAGAGGAGTTTAACCATTGAATAAACGCTAATGTACCATGTCCAACAGGCGTCGTCCGAGCACCCGTCTTCACGACCGTAATGCAAGTCCTATCCCGCTTCGTCCTCGTCTGGGGTGTCGTCTACCCGTTTCCCTACCTCGCCCGCAGCCCCTGGTACTCGTCCATGCTGCTCGCCTGGAGCGTCACCGAGGTGATCCGCTACTCGTACTTCGCCCTCACCCTCAGCGGGTTCCAACCAAAATTCCTGACGTGGCTGCGGTACAACACGTTCTTCGTGTTGTACCCTATTGGCATCACGAGCGAGTGCGTCTTGATTTACTACGCTGCGACGCCGGCTAGGCAGTTTGGGGAGCTGGTGCCGTGGGTTTCGTATGCTATTCTTGCTGTTTATGTTCCTGGTATGTTACCCCCACATTTTATGTCTGTGATCGCGAGGAAGGAGTGCTGACGAATGGGAAATAGGATCGTATATTCTCTACACATACATGATGAAGCAGAGAAGCAAGGTCATGCGCAACTTGAAGGCCGAGGAGGCGGGCCGCTCCAAGACGCAGTAATTCTTCAACTCAAAGAAGGGGAAAGATGAGAATCCAAAATTTAAGTGGGGTATAAGGACTATATAATGGTCGGGGGTATGGTTATAGACAAAAAGAGAAAAAGAGGATGGGCGTCTACAAAATTGCGTCCTCGCTCCAGCAGCCGTAATAATAAGAAACAAAAGGAAACATCACAGTCTACGGTATCAAGCGGTGGCGCTCTCGCCCGCCTCCTTTATGGCGAGCTTGTCCTCCTCGCTGGACTCGTACCATTCGTTCCGCGTCCACTGGGCGATGAGAGTTGCCGCGTCTTCCTTGAGTTTGTCATATCCTGGGTTCATCTTTGGTTCGAACATGTCTAGCCTTCCAGTCAGCAAAAACGCCCATGACCTTGGACAACTCGGGTCACTGCGAAAAGGGGAGGTCCACTCACTCATATGCGCCTGCGTCTCCTCCGTAGCAACATCATTCACAGCCTGCTTCCACGTCCCCCCATTATCCCGCTTCGGCAAATTACAAAACGTCCGGTCCCGGCCCAGCACCGTGCCGACAACGCTGACCTCCTTGGAGCCGGCGGCTTTACCGAGGCGGGTATACAAATTTGCGAAGCCCACGTCGAGCTCGCGGTTGAGCTTGACCATGTACTGCACCCTCTTCTGCAGCTCCGCGCCCTTTGCGAGGCACCCCACGAACTCGAGGTGCGACGTCGCCCACGTCAGGCCCTGGGTGATGTGTTCGCGATTATAGTACGCCGCTCCCGCGCTCGCTGCCACGGCGGCGGCGGAGCCTGCTACCATTGCGATCTTGCCCCATCCCCATCCACCGCCTTGCTGTGAGGAGTTTGCTGGAGGGGCGGGAAGAGCAGCGACGGGAGCTTTATTCCTAGATGGCGAAGAAGTAGCTTGCTTCGCGCCCCAGAGCGCGGTGCCGAGGCCGCTGAGCTGCGTCATGGCGGCGTTGGCGGTGTTGTAGTGGCCCTCTGCGCCGTGGGCGACGACGCCGGGGGAGATTCCCAGATACGGCGTGTCGAAGGCGATGACGCCCTGGATGTAGGGGAACATGAGGCTGTTGAAGGTGGCGGTGGACGAGTCCGCCGCCTTTTCGACGCCGTCTTCCGAGTAGATTGGCTTTTCCGAGGTGAGGCCTATCACTGTTTCCGCGGCGACGATGCCGCCCATGGAGTGGCCTGCTAGGATGACACGGACGGAGGGGTCTACTGTTGGTGAGGGGGTGTTGTTTGCGACTTCTAGGTCGATTACTTTTTCGAGGAGCCTGGGAGATGTGTCAACGACGACCTGGTTGATTGTCGACTGTGATGGGAGTGGAGGATTACCAGTCGCGGAAGCGGCTCACGCAGTCTCCTAGGTCACCGCGCGTCTCATATTTGGGATATACGAGGACGTTTACGTTGATCTTGGGGAGGAGGGCGGCGAGGTCTGCTCGGAGCTGTGCTGTGAAGCCTTCCTTGTCGCCAAAGGTGTCGTCACCTCCCTGCGTCCGATCGTTAGGGATCGTATTCCATTAGAATGAGCACAAAATTACGTACCTTGAATCCGTGAATGAAAACTATGAGTAATGTCTTCTTCATCTTGCCTTTCTGTTCTAAGTTACATGAGTGAGAATGAGCTGTTGTGAACAGCTATGCGATGTCGTTGATGAGCTGGTAGCTTTGGAGCTTGACGTCTGTGTACAGTGTTGGTACAGTGCGCGTCAACGCGGTACCTGGAGGATGCCCCGCCTTGCCACCCCACCATGTGACAACATCCCTCCAAGATACCTCGTGCCTCCCTAGCAACGTCGACTGGCTTGCACTGAGCTACCCACGAAACCACCATAGTGCCACGACGACGGGGATCTAGACAAACGTCTCGAGCAGCCAATTTGAACCGGAAATCAAAAGTCAAAGCCCTTCACTCTAATATAATCATAGGTATTTCCCATATCGTCTACTACTTGTGGTTCCTCTCTTGAAGTTAACGTCAAGATGGCAAGGTCATAAGCATAGAATCAAGTATGCTCAACCTTTTTGTTTATATTCCGATTTGAACCCATTGCCTATCATGCTGGGCCTGCTCATTGGTTTATCAATATGCAGGCAACCAGGCGTGTCCGCTGCAGTTACTGAGGCTGAGCGAGGTGCATGACCACACGCGGGGTTTGTGTGACTTTGGGTCACCAGCAGTCGTACTTATGTCGTAGCCACTCTCTGTCGAAACACAAACCTCTACCAACTTGTAAATCACCATCAACACGCACATCTTTGACGACATGCGACTTCTGAACGTCGAAACGAGAAGGCTGCAAGAGTTTTTCGACGAGGTGCCAGAATATGTAATCTTATCACACACCTGGGGTAGCGGCGAGGTCACCTTCCAAGACCTCGACCGTCCTGACCACACCAAGAAACGAGGCTACATCAAGATCGACGGCACCTGCTACCTGGCGGCTCGAAATGGCATCAAGTGGGTGTGGGTTGATACTTGCTGCATCGACAAGACGAGCAGTGCAGAACTCTCCGAGGCTATCAACTCCATGTATCGGTGGTACAGAGATTCTCAGATCTGCTATGCCTACCTTGAAGACTTCCAGCAAGGCGATGATCCCAGCAGCTTCGACAGCCAATTTAGCAACAGTCGGTGGTTCACTAGAGGCTGGACGTTACAGGAGCTCCTCGCCCCCGAAACAGTTGAGTTCTTTGATGCTGTGTGGAAGAAACTTGGCACTCGTTCTTCACTGGCGCCCAAGATCGAGTCCATCACCAGTATACCGACCGAATTTCTCAAAAGAAATGAAGACTCCCCCGCCATCCGCTCTGCAAAGATTGCCATGCGGATGTCATGGGCTGCTCGGCGGCAGACAACGAGGGTAGAGGATATAGCATACTCTCTTCTTGGAATATTTGATGTTAACATACCACTGCTCTATGGCGAGGGGGAAAGGGCTTTTGAGAGGCTGCAGATCGAGATTATGAAGCAGTCTTCCGACGATTCGATACTCGCATGGGCAAGGAAGGGCGAGAAAGCAAGGGATTTAAAGAGGCTGCCACTCGATATTATGAACATAGAGGACATGATGCAGTCTACCGAAGATTCGACACTCGTACTGACAAGCGAGAGCGAGGAGAATGGGGCTTTGATGCGGCCGCGGACCGAGATGATGAAGCAGCCTTCGGACGATTCGATACCAACATGGGCATGGACGTACGAGTGCAAGCCAGAGCCGGTCAAGAACCTGGACAGTGAATTTGGCATCCTTTGGGATAAAGGGGTATTGGCCCGGTGCCCTGATGACTTTGCCTGGTGGACCTCAACCCAGGCTTTGGATTTTTATGAAAAAAGCAAATTCAGCACTGATATGACAACCGGCGTTCTGCATGTCACTCTTCCTGTCCTCAAAGGCCGGGGGAAATCGTCCTATGGTGTGCTCAACTGCATGGTGGACAACAATCTCGACCAGATTCTTGCGGTTAGACTATATCATACCAATGTCGCCGGCGAATATGAGCGGGGAACGGATGGCCTCGTCACTCTATCCTGGCAAGTTGTGAAGAAATGTCAACAAATGACTTTTTGCCTTCTAAACTCTGATCAGCAGCGTCTGCCTAATGCACGATCTCTTTGGAACAAATGGGGGTCGACAGTCCTTCGGATTCTAGGCCCAGACGATTGGGCCACACGCTTAGTAAGAGTAGAGCCAAAGGATTCTTACCAGAGGGACAGGAATTTGGTATTTGTGAAAGACGGTTACCATGGGCACTGGCCTCGAATTCTCCTTCACTACAAGAAAATCCCGATGGATGACGAACAAGACGACGGCAGTGATGGGGATGGATTCGTCCTTGTCTTGGAAAGAAAGACCCCGCTCAGAGCATTCTTCTCTTTCGAGCTAGAACCTTCACCGTTCGTCTGCTACACCATCCCTATGCAAAAAGGGGAGGAGCTGGAGCACCTTGTACCAGACAACCTGGACAAACGAGCCGCTTTATACGTTCTACACTATGAACTTCGCAACTTGTCACAACTCAGAAACGGTTTCTCACTGAAAGCTGGCGCCGCTCAGGCTAAAATTGAACGAGAAAAGTTCCTCGACCGGGAGCGATTTCTTGTCAAGATTTCTTACACCCAGTCATTGGCCCAAAATGCCAGTTCTGTTGCCAAATTCATCACGCATATGTACCCGATAATGGAGTCACCAGTGGTTCAGACGTTGCGCTGCCAAAGTCCCTTGCTACTCGCAAGCGATTTATTACTCAATGTGATACCCATTATCGCCTGGGGGCTGAATCACAAAAGACGCACGGCCGCCGCCAGCTGGAAGGAAACCGCCAAGCTTGGAAGCCTACCGCTCCTCTCCAGCCTCCTTCGCTACAGAGCCGACCACATACTTGGACCCTTATGGTGGATCGAAAGGCCGCAAGAGGCTGACTTTTATTGTCAAACAGTGTACATGCCCTTTGCCATTTTATTTCCCTTTGCATTGTACACATTGTTCCCTCGCTTCCGCAAGGAGGTTAAAGTCAACCCGCTGGTCTCGGTTTCGTGCTCAATAGCGGCTATCATACTAGTAAGGGTTGGACAAAAGGTCTTGGAGAACTCAGAATTGGATTCTCCAACAGAAGATGCGACAGAAGATGCGACAGACGGTACGACAGACGGTACGACAGACGATATGATATGCAAAGGGGAACATTGATAATGGAGAGACATTCATGTTGCATATACGGGCTACATCTCTTGTTACGCCATATGGTTTCTTTAGTTTGTGTGAAATGGATTTGTTGCAATGCCGTGCAGTTCAACAGCACCTATGCTTCATCATTCTATCTCTCCCAATTTTAGGCACAAACCCTCCGTTCCCATGTTGCCCAAATAAAGCCATCTTGCACCCAGTCTGGTAAGAACCACCCCGTAAGATAATGGGAACCATTAAAGATAGCATGTTTGTGTTGAGTATGTTCTAGATCAGGTGCAGAGCATGGCTTCTGAATTTCGGTCCGAAGAGACCAAGACTCCCCTTCCCGGAATGAAATCGTAGGAAGCCCTTGATGGAATGTAATGCTTCAAAAGCCAAGTAATCAAGTCCAATTCGCTTCTAAACACTCGCTACAAATTTTGGATTAGTGTTCTCAATTTCGCTAGTACGTGGCCGTCAGCCTCTGCACGAGATACTGCCCGCTGTTGATACCATCGTATTTCTTCTCCTCCTCCGTGGCATACGTCCCCGGGATAGCCTCGATGTGACTCTTGAAGTTGGGGTTGCAAAAGTACCTTTTCATCATCGTCAGCACATCAAAAGCTCCAAGAACATGCACTCAAGTCACTTACGCAATGCTGTAACGGGGTGGGTACTCCTCCCCGTCCTCCGGCTTCCGCGGCGGCTCCACGACGCGGTGAATCGTGCTCTTGATGGTATCATTACTCCACCGCGCAAGCAAATCCCCAGCATTCACAACGACCGTCCCAGGAATAGGCGTAGCGTCCACGAACCGCCCATTCGGGCTCCGCACCTGCAGGCCCCCGCGATCGTCCTGGAACAGCAGCGTAATCGACCCGTAATCACTGTGCTCTCCAGCGCGCACCTGACCCGGATTCACCTTGAATACGTTGGGATCGACGGAAGGGTAATGCAGCAGACGCAGCGTGTTGTCCCCGACGTCGGTATACCCGTCAAAGAACCGCTCGTCCTCCAACCCCATACCCACCGCAATAGCGCGCATCACCTCGACGTGCAGCGCCTTGCACTGCCCAAAGAACTCGAGCATCTGCGTCTTGAACCCGGCCACGCGCTCGCCGTCCCGCTCGACGGGCCACTGGTTCGGGTGGTCCGGCTCGCCGTCGCGGCCAATCTCAAACGACTCCTTGAGGTCCGGGTTGCCCGCGCGCACCTTTTCGATTTCCTCGTTGGTGGTGAGGTTGCTGACCTTTTCGCGGCCGGGCGCGGAGTAGCCGCGGTTGGCCTGCGGGGTGGTCCAGCCGAGGCCTTGCTTGACGGCGTCGGTCTGAGAGAAGAAGTCTGCTGATTTGGCGAACGTGGTGGCGCGGAGGTCCTGGCTGATGGGGACGTTTTGGAGGTAGATGAAGCCTGCATTTTGGAAGCCGTCGAGGACTTGCTTTGCTGTTTCCTTGCGCTTGGCGGCGTCGCCGTTGAGGAAGGCTGAGAAGTCGATGAGCTTGATGTTGGTGTCAGTTAGTGATGCTCGAGGCGATTATGATGTTATGTCATTGATGTCACTTACGGGGATGAAGAGACCCTCTTTGTCTACTGCTGTAGCTGCCATGATGATCTGATTGCTACTTTCTTCACTGGGGTTGAGAGATGATGGATGAGAGATTCAGAGATGGATGTGGTCACTTGAGACTTGGGAGCATCACATGGATCAGGGTGAGGTGTAATCTCGAGTAAGAAGTCACGATAAGGTTCGTTACTAAATCCGTGCGGTACAGGTTCCGAGCGACTTATATCTATCCGTCGATACAGTCGGTTGTGTAAGTACCTTGTCGCGGGCGACTGGCGGCGGCCCAGCCAACCAGAGGCCAAGCATTAACATCGTAAGTTAACAGCCAACCACCGGCGCCGTCTAATCAGTTCCGGACGGGGCCAGGCGTTGCCCCTTGTTGATCCCCGGCCAGGACGGGGCATTACGGGGAGAGACTCAAGAGAGAACCCTTTAACAAGATCGGCTGGGTCCGCGGGCGCACGAGTGGGAATTTCCATCGGAGAGCTCCTACACGTTATACTTATGTGTAAGCAGTATCTCAGTGTCTCACACTGGAGAGGAGGGGGGGAAGGAAGGTCTGACGATAAGACGCTGGTGGTGCGTTGAAGGCCGGCGCGCGGAAAGACGATTGGAGATAACGGCGGGGTAAAGTAGAAAGACAATTGACAAGGGAAGGATTACCTGACTTTACTTACCTTTGGAGACGCCCGTGTGTGGGGTTTTGTGAGGTATGCGGTGCATCGAGGCGCTTGCATATGAGGGGAACATGGATTGGAGGGGGAACCAGGCGTTGCGGGTCATGGCGACCTCATCACCTTCCTGGAAAGACGTAGTTTGTCGGGTAACTGATACTTACCTTTTAAAAGAAGGACGAGGGGCAACACAGCTTTGCTTGCTCCTGGGAAAGCTTCCAACTTGGAAACAGACCATAATAACAGGATTGACTTCTTTTCTTATCCCTGGATTGCAGAAGAGATAAGCCAAGATCTCTCACCATCTCAACTACGAGTGAGCCTCTTCAACTTGTAAGTCGACCCAGCATCGTGACTTTGAAACCTCAAGACTGAACCACTGGCTAACGACAAGTAGACCAATCAACGAGACTGACTGTGCTTCAAGTCATCTCAACACTAGCTCCAAGTGAAGACGCAAGGCAGTAAAGGGACGTCGTCTGCTCGGCCGACTTCACAATGGCCTCATCAACAGCCATGACGGTGGTGGACGTCCACACCCACATGTATCCCCCGTCCTACGTCAAGATCCTCGAATCTAGAACCACCATTCCCGTCGTGCGCAGCTTCCCGCAAACACCAGACCCGCGCCTCATCCTCCTGGCCTCGGAGGAACAGGCCCTGGATGAGGCCACCAAGGATCCTTCAGCGAAGCCTCCCGGCCGGCCGCTGACCTCTCACTACGCTTCGCTCGACCAAAAGGTCCACTTCATGGACACGCACAAGATTGACATCTCGGTCATCTCCTTGGCGAACCCGTGGCTCGACTTCATCGATGCCTCCGAGTCTGGCGCCATGGCCAAGGGCGTCAACGAGGAATTCGACGGCATGTGCGCCGCACACCCGGGCCGCCTCTTCTTCTTTGCCGCTTTGCCCTTGACGGCATCACTCGAGACCATCCTGGAGGCTATCAACCACGTTAAGGCCCTCAAGTACTGCCGCGGCATCATCCTCGGCACTTCGGGGCTCGGCAAGGGCCTTGACGACCTGGACCTACTGCCCATCTTCAAGGCCATCGCCACCGCCCGCCTCACCATCTTCCTGCACCCGCACTACGGGCTGCCCAACGACGTCTGGGGGCCCAGGGCTAGCAACGAGTACGGCCACGTTCTTCCCCTAGCCCTGGGTTTCCCGATGGAGACCACCATCGCCGTGGCGCGCATGTACCTGGCTGGCGTCTTTGACGACGTGCCCGAGCTGCGCATGCTCCTGGCGCACAGCGGAGGCACGCTGCCTTTCCTGGCGGGACGCATCGAGAGCTGCATCATGCACGACGGGCAGCTGGTGCGCGAAG